CGCGGTGCTGTGCACATGCATTAGTCTGCTCGGCCATTCTGTCCTTAAACTGCAAAATGCAAAATTGCATTTAAAAAAAAAAAACTTTCTACCAATGGGTAGTTTCTCTTCATGTTGTACATGTCATGTTTTTCACATTTACTTATTGTATTTTCTATGTAATACAGTTGTAAATTCCATTAAAATAATAATAAAAAAAAAAGCATTTAAAATAATTCTAATAATTAAGCTGAGTTACATCCAATGGAAATTTAGGTTATATCACGCTGCGGTTTTATTCACGATTAAGGCGCTTTGAGACCGGAAACGCTCAAATGAAACAGTGAAGGAAACAGAGAAGGATACAACGAAGAGAAAAATGTCTAGGCAGTGAGACCTTGACAGAAGAAAATGCAAACTATAAAAACTAACGAAGCCTGGAGGCCGCCGATCGAACTATTACCTCCACGTGTAAACCCTCAAGTGGTCTTTAAGTAGTGTCGTAAAACTGATAACTCTTCCACGCTTACCTGGATTTTCACCAAGGATTTACAGCGAATACATTTCCTTACCGGCTTATTTAAAACATCTGACATTTTTATAACGGTCGTAGGATTCTCACGGATGGTTTCGAAATTCCATCTTGAAGTGGGTTAATGCAATCGAAAGCAAACATCAGTTAATGGTTTTTGTTCATTAGTAGATTGAAATAGGTTATCATAGAGTGTTGCTATAAATCAGTTCTGTAATAACTATATCCTCGGGTGACAGTGCGGTAAGATCTGTGCTCCTATTCTTCGTATACCTGAGCGTATGAATTGTGTTTCTATTTCAGATAAAACTAAATTAAAATAATAATAACAAAATTGAAATAAACCAAATTAAAGGTACTTTAGAGGAACATATGTTGAAGATTTAAGCATTTAAGCCCTATAAAATGACATCAATAGAGATAAGACCTCAATGATATTAAAGATACAATGAGTTTAATCAAAATCGTTGGAGTTGTTTTGAGAAAATTGTAAAAATGTGTATCTCCTTTGATAAAGTACCACTCCCGTATTGATTTTAACAAAAAAGTTGCTGTCACTTCTAGTATAGCCCAAAATCGGTCTTGGTCTTGCACTTTGCAAAACCAAGACCATGACTGGTAAAAAAATCGATTTTTAAATAAAAATTAAGGCAAAATAGTTACTAATGTTCGCCAATTTTAGTTACTATATGTTAATGATTGGTATAATCAATGTTCTTTTGCATTTATAACTCCTCTAATTTTTCATTCGGGCTTAGTCAGGTTTTTCCTATCTAAAAAATTACTGTCTAATCTCTATAGTCATAAAATAATAAGTAACTGCAAGACTGTTGTGAGACTCTCGCGCAAGACCAAGACCATGACAAATACTGAGTTGGAATATTAAGACTCGTCTCGGTCTCGCATTTGAGCAACACTAGTCACATCTAAGACCATTTTGCGGGACTTCGTTGTTTAAACTCGTTTAGTTATTTAGGCCTCAAAACGTGTATTTCCGTTGAAAACTCAGATTAGAAAATTTTCACAATCGCAATAATTTCTCTTACTATATATTAAATGTATAAGTATAGAGTTACATATACAAGGTAAGTGAACGTAAATAAGACCAACAGCCTGCCAAAAACAAATTGACTACAATCTTATAGCAAGGTAGAATAGCCCTGGCTTACCTACGATAAATATACCTCTCTACATGTTTAGTAATTATATGTAATTAATTACATGTTCAATTACTAGATTCATTATCCATGACCGAGTTATGGATCATATAATACGGTTAAAGGCTTCTAATTACCATATCTCTTTCATCGCCAAGAATTAAGTGGGTTTTCGTAGTTCAATAAGCCCCGACAGACAGTCGCCGTATCCGAGAGCTGAAATAGCTTACAGAAAATTACAACATCTATTAAGTATATCAAGGGAATGTACCTAATTAACATCGTTTGTAGCTTAGTAGTCGATAGTATATGGTATATATTTTTTATTATTTATGATATTTACAACTGTATTAGAAATAAAAATAAATTCAGTAAATGTGAACACAAGAATATAATAACACGAAATTATCTACTGGGACACTTTAATAAAGTATTTACAACAGGAGACCTCGATGCTATCTTCTTTTCTGACACCTCGGAGGGTTATCAGGGATCGAGGAGGAAGCAAGATTAGAAACAAGCTTGGATGGTCCTTAAGTTTGTTATGAAAGGCTAGGTATCTGTATTGTACCAGGTCATTAAGATCGTTATAGATGATATTATTTGTAACAAAGTAGAGAGTATTGAGGATTTTACGAAGGATTTTGGATTTTAAGGATTAGACACGAACGGAATTCGATGGCTTAGTGGAGCCTCAAAGCTCCACTCCATAAATCCAAGAAACCGTTCGACGTTTCCGATTACTTTAGCACTTACTAAAAAAACGCTCTAAACTTCCAATTAATTACAAAAGACTCATGTACATGATTATAATAAGGCCTATTTGGACTTACGGAGTTGAGCTATGGAGCTCCACTAAACCATCGAATTCCTCTCGTATCCAATCCTTACATCAAAATCCTTCTTGAATTTTCAATGCTCCCTAGTTTCTTACATACTCCATACAATAAAATACTCCACAATGACCTTAATATTTCTTATGTTTCAGGTCTGACCCAATCTAGATACCTATCCTTCCATAATAAACTCCAGAATCATCCCAATCCTCTCGTCTCTAACCTTGCTTACTCTTCAATTCCTGATATTCCTCCTAGGCGTCTGAAAAGAAGATGGTCCCGTGATCTCCTAATGTAGACATATCATGAGGGCGTTACCTTGGTAGTTTCTCAACAAGTGTTTTCAAGTCATTATATCCATATGTTCAAGTTTACTAAATGTATTTCTTTAATAAAGTTCTAAATACCATTAAGAAATAAAAGAAATAACTGATGGCTATATGTATTAAACCTTTGCTATCAAACATTATTCAATGGAAGTTCTGCTGAGCCCTTAATGCTTAATGAATAAAATCAGGTACAAATATTAGATTTGTGCGGAGTATTCGAAAGAGTCAGCTAGTACCAAATTAATAATACAGATCAGCCTCTCAGGAAAATACAAGTTCAAGGTTTTAGTTAAAAATAAAATTGTAAAAATCACTCTTAAACTTGAGTGCAAAAGTTGCAACACCAAAAAAAAAAAGAGACACTTGGTAAGAATTTACCAGGGTATGGGAAATCTTAATGGGATGGAAAAGTACCATAGAAGAAATAAGAAAATTATATGTTTATTTCTCTATTTATAAAATTATGGAGCATTGGTGGGGCAATCCCTAATATTGTCCTCTGAATATAATAACAAAATTGTAGATTGGATGTCGGCAAGTTTTGTTTTCTTTGTTTATGCGAGTAATCGTTGTATTTAATTTTAATAATAGTTTAATACTAAATATAAAAAATAAAATGTTTTATTGTTATTGTGCATGTGTTTTGTTGACAATTCAAGATTTTATATTAATGTTAATGATTGGCAATATTTGACAGTGATTTTTTACCAAAAGTGATTTGTAAATTATGATTTTGATTATTGTAATATTTATAATCTATATAGCATAAAAGGGGAAAAAAATTGTTTAAAACTGTTTACGACGTTTAATGTTTTTTTCCATTTAGTATTAAATTGTAATCAAATATCTCTGTGAATGAAGAATTTACGTTCAGTCTACAAAAATATCGCATAGTGATGCTCTAGTAGACCTTGCTAGGCCACGTACTGGCAAAAACAAATTCGCGATATACGGCATTCGAAATAGCACAGCCGCTTAAAAAACTGAATATATCACGCAGGCCAGTCTTAGAAAAAAATTATATCAAAAAGGTCATTAAGAGAAAAAATCGGAAACACTGCCAAGGCCAATTGATGATTTAATGGAAGCATAAAAAATGAGGAACGCACGTGTGGCCTATAATATATAAGATTGTATATCGAGTTGGCTAGGATACTGCTATAGCACCAAGGGCGCTCAATGAACTGGGGTTCTAATGAAATATGATCTACAATATGAAGTTCCCAAATTTATTTATGGAGTGAACCAATTTCATTTTTAACATAAAACTAAATTTAATATTTTTTCTCTGACTATTCAGCTTTAATAAAAGACTACATATGACGAAATTAAGCAAAATGCTGATTCTCAGTGACCAAAAAACTAACTAAAGTCAAAGTCGTCAGTCGGGCATGTTTGGACGCCATTTTGGGGCAGTTCTTTTTTTTTTTTTGTGGGAACATAGTTACAAGGAACACAACGATATACAATTTATAGGGATGTGAGAGGAGAGGGAGGGGGGAGTGCACAGTAGGGGTGTCATACGAGAAAACCTATTCTGACCAGAATGGGAAGGTCGGGACTAATTTAGACCGCCAAGAAATAAATTTTAACCAGCCCGGGCTGGATTCGAACCGAAAATAACGGTATACGTCGCTAGACTCGAGAATGTTAAACTTTATGCTTTAACAGGCTCGGCCGTCACGGCCACCTTATTTTAATTGCCAACATTCGCAATCTCTCAAAATTTCGTCAAATCGAAAAATCGGCGGTAGATGTTGTACCGAGAAGTTAAAACGTTGATGGAAATATAGACATACTTATGAGAATAGGTTTGCCCATCAGTAAGCATCTTAAAATTTTAGTTTTGTCATACAATAATAAGTGCGAAAATTTCTTAGACATGAAAAGCCATATTTTATTGAAATGAGCTAACTATTTACGGCATCAACAGATTCTGTAGATGATTGATTTTAATATTAATTTTTTGAATTCGGTAACACTTTAGGTTCCTCCTACCTTAAATTACCTGTGTTATATCCTACAAACAAATCTATATTTACTTTTGATGAATAAATAAAAAATCACAGGAGCCACCTTATACGCAAGGGAGATTATCGGTAAATATATATTTGAACTATTATCAGAGCCGAGAGAGAGGCGACTTGTTATCTTAATACGATAAGACTTACCTGAGGACCTTCCTGACGTCGTTGTAGTGGAGGCGGTCCGCCCGTTCGCCGTCCACCTCCTTCAGCCTAGCGTGGAGTCTCCTGTTCGTCCTTCCTCCAGGATCAGGATGGTGTTCCGACACCGCTTCCAGGATCTTCTCCAAGTCGGGGAGGACCTGAGGAACATAAACAGTCTGTGGAGAAAGTCCCATTTGATTCCTTTTTTTAACCCTTTTACTACCGTCTAGACAAAAAGACACAGTTCTTCAAACACTTCGTCTCCACTACGTTTTACAGCTACTTTCTGCAGTCGATTGCGACCAAAAAGGACTTTATTATCGATCTTTTTTTTTAACTCTGAAGACGTCCATACTATTTCCCCAAGGATTTAAACGTTACAAGTGACTACTGTTGCACAAACGCGAGACAGAGGCGAGTCTTCGTATTGCAAACTCAGTCTTTGTCATGGTCTTCGTCTTGCGCAAAAGTCTCGCAACAGTCTTGCAGTTACTTATTATTTTATGACTAATGAAATTAGACTGTAATTTTTTAGACAGGAAAACCTGACTAAATCCGAATGAAAAAATAGAGGAGTTAAATGCAAAAGTATATTGGTTATACCAATTATTAACATATAGTAACTAAAATTGTCGAGTGTTAGTAATTATTTTGCCTTAAGTTTTAATTTAAAAAATCGATTTTTTTTACCAGTCCTGTTCTTGGTCTCGCAACAGTTAGGTAGCGTTGGTCTTGGTCAAAGTGCAAAGTGCAAGACCAAGACCGATTTTGGGCAACACTAAAAGTGACAAATTTTACGAAATGAAAAAATTTCCTCTAAGCATTTTGAAATTTACTATCCTGTGACTGTCTTAAGTACATCAGAAAAATTGTTGATTAAGATTTTCCTACAAAGTTACGTTTTTAAAAGAGACAATGCTGCACAACAAGATTTTAAAATGTAATAAAGTTCAAATAAAAAAAAGGGCAATTAAACGATCGACCATTGATGCTTTACGCTTTTTAAAACCAGAAAAAAATCACTATCGTTTTTTAGTGAAAATTTTTCTCCTTCTGAATGTTCTCTTATCACTGTTAATGGCCACACACCTCACTATCACGGAATTAAACATTTTCATATATATTTTTTTTTTAACCAGCGATCCAGATGACTGTCCGATTCTTTGTGTGTATGGTGTGTATGGACTCACTTTTACTAAGGTCTTATATATACAAAATGTAATATTATTCAATAAAAAATAAAATATTATACTGATATAGATAATAGCAAACCATGCACTATAAATAAGACATGGAAAACACAGTTATGCTCGATATATTTTCCTTGAGTGTCCACGTTTCTGCATATGTTGTACACCGTTATAAGAGCAAAGCTAAATAAGATATAAGAATCATACAATGAAGATATTTAAGTAGGAAAGTGAATAATATGACTATTATTACCATAACAATATAAGATGGTTATCACTATATACAATAATAGTGAAGAATATATGAAAAATGAAAGAGTATGTTATAAAAAAATATGGAGACAATAAAAATTATTAACGTAATTAAAATAATAAATTTTATTTCGGGAGCGTACCCTTAACCATATTCTTTCGTTTCTAATACCATTCTAATGTATGATAGTAAATCTTATGTAGAGCAAAACGTTTATATAAACCACGATCTGATTTTTTGCAGAAAAGCAGGAATTTAACATTTTATTTTGTTTAATGTCTTTTTTTTGTTTAGTTGAAAGCGACAACTGAAACAAAATTGAGGCAGTAAAATTTCGTCATAGTAAACTAGACCAAATTTACTTCCCATGAAAGTCGAGTTCGTTATTGTTGAAAAATTTGTAAGAACATCATTTAACAATATATTACATATAGTTCATTTAACAATAATTATCTCTGCTTTGCGATGATGCAGAAGAACAATGTATTAGCCCTGGGGCCAGGGCCCATAAAATCGAACTGATCGCAGGCGAAGGTTTGATTGTAAATTACGAAAGTATATGTTATTCTGAGTAAAAAGAACCTTGTCTGTCATTCCAGAGCCGCTGCTTTAAAAAATTGTGACTGATTTAATGAATATGAGCCCAAGAATTTGAGGATCGAAAAGGGAAAACCATTGCGAAAAATTTGAGACAATAGATTTTATTTTTTTAACTTGTATATATGAGTTAAGGAACAATGTAAAAACCAAAATTGTTAACGCGTGCCACCAAGGAAAAACTATTTTCAGCCAAAAAAGTCAGATTTTTTCGATATTTTTTGTTTTTTTCACCTTTAACTCCCAAACCATGCATCAAAGCGAAAAATGTATTCTATAATAAATTAAACAACGTTAAATTTTGCGTCAAACGAGTACATAAACTTTATAATTTGTTTACGCAGTAAGGTATAAAACCGCGATCAACCAACGCTGATTTTTACCAAATTTGTCTACAACTGAGACAAATTACTATAAATGGCCCTGCACCTTGGAAATGAGTTCCCTTAGACGAAGAACCCATAGAATCAAAGTGGTAGAGCATCAAATTTTGTGTCAACTGAGTACAGACATTTTTATTGTAGGCCAATTATGTATCTCGAATCGGGATTCGTTATTCCTTTATAAAATTCGGTATCTTTCGACACATCGTTTAACTAATCCTTCGCAACAAGTTAAAAAAATAAAAACTTTTCTCACATTTTTCGCAATGGATTTCCCGTTTCGATCCTCAAATTATTGGCATGATATTCTTTCCATCAGCCGCCATTTTAGAAAGTAGCGGCTCTGGAACGGCAGTCAAGGAAGGTTCTTTTGACTCAGAATAACATATACTTTCGTAATTTACAATCAAACCTTCGCCTGCGATCAGGTCGATTTTTGGGCCCTGGCTCCAGAGCTCTAGGGGGAACAAGATTTTGTACCACAAATTTATTCAACCAATAGCTAACTGTTATTTCATTTATTTTTTTTTAATTTCAGAATTTGGAGATATTGCTGTTAGTAAATCCTTGAAATAAAATAAACAATACATTTACTAAAAATAAATAATTATGTAAATTTATGTACCTGGAAGGCTTCCTCTTCGGACATGCTCTGGGCTTTAAGACAAAATTCCTTTCCAGCTTCTAGGACATCGCTGTCCCCTCCGACGGCGAAGAATTCCTTGAGGACGGACCATTCCGTAACCCTGAAAGGTTAAAAAATGGTACCGCTATGATAATACGATCTTGACCTTCCAATTATGGAAGCTGATTCATGTGAGATGGGCCCCGCTTGATACATTAAGTTTGGCTTAAAGGTCAAAACTGGTAAATGGCGTTGGGCACTGGAAGATATACTACAGTTTTCAGGCTCTTGACTTTAAAATATTACATTACAGTAAAGAAACAATTTTTCAAAAGTAATAAACAGTTAACAAAAAATTCATGTAATTTTTTAAAGAATAAAATAATTCAATTCTAATGATATAATTACTTCCGAACGCAGTCTGTAGTGTAGCAAGTATATTAAAGTTATATAGTAACAAAAAATCATAAAATAAGAAACATCTGTTGAATCATTAACCTCGAAAAGGCCAATAAGTGTTGCGGAATTTTGTATATATTACATTGTGCAGATAATTAAAAAAAAAAAAATTAGAGAGCTATATGGCATTTTTTTTTTTTTTTTTTGGTCTTCAAATCTTCATTCACACCTGTCATGGTAGTGACAATTAGCAGATTTGTTGTTAGGTGGAAAATGGCATGATAGGCATGACGAAGAATAGTACCCAGCAGCACCTCTTCTCTGGTCTGTTTACATCCTGAAATCAGGAAAGGAGATCTCTCATCCAGCTCGTTTTCAGTCACCTCCTGATGAGCATTTCAGGCATGGCCATGTCGTTGATAATTCCATTGTGACGTCCGTGTAGTTTAAGATGAAATCGGGAGAAGAGAATTCGTATGTGCTGGTCAATGGTTGGTTGTCTTAGGTCGGTAGGTAAAGTTTTGTAGTTGACATACCAGGAGACTGCAGTTATTAATCTTGAAATTATAGATTGAAAAGATAGTAGTTTTTGTAAGTGAGTTTTTTTTGCTGAATCGTAAATCTGTGAGCCGTATGTCCAAATGGGTTTAAGCAGGTAAGTGTACGTATTTAGTTTTTGTCTGATTAAATAGTAATATATACCAACTGCTATCCATTTTTACTATTACAAATTTTATTTATAAATTGTTCACCAATTGCTATTTTTTTTGTATAAAAGAGGTACGATAATAAAAGAACTGCAGATTTTATCTGGTTTTTTTTTAATAACTATAAAAAAAAATGTAAGGTACAGATCTATTGATGTCTCAATAATGAATATGCTTCACTGCCAAAGAAAAATAATCACATACATTGCTTAATTATAGCTAGTGAATGAACCAGAATACAACTACTTTTAAACAATTAAAACGTTCCTTTGAGGAACATTTTCATTTCTTGTTTTCCTCTTTTCTATTTATTATCATTTATTTTCTAATAATTAATTTTATATTTTTTAGACACATTTATTATTATTGCTATTTTGGTAGATAGTTGCATAATTTTCAACCGTTATCATTGCTGATCAGCTGTTTAATTATAACCTTTCTCAGCTGTGTTACATCAGCTTTCTTCCAGAGTGAGATTGTCATGATGAAGTGACGTGTCTTGGGTTCGTAGTCTTTTCTGTATTGACGATGGGTGAATTGGTAAAACGTTGTCGGGTTATTTTATTCTTTACCTGCATTTCTGAGAGACAAGAGTGTAATTTTCTATTATAGATTAACTTTCAGAATGGATTTGATTGAAGAACGATAAAACAATCTGCCATTATCTAGGACATGGAGTATTAAAGCTCTATTTTTACATTCAAAAATGTATATACAAACTAAAATATAAATCGAGAAATAAATAAATAAGAAGAGAACATGTAAGTAAAAATATATAGATTAAAATAAGGAAAAGAAAAAAATGTACAAAGAAAAAATAGTAAAAAATAGAAGGAAAAAAAATACTTTTCACAGAACCGTTTCTATGTACAATATTTACATGCCTAGAGAACTCGAAACCATGATTGCCGCTCTTATGTGAAAGGCAAGGCAGGGCTCAAAGAGATCCCAGCGCTTCTCTTCCAGCCACTTCACTATTTAATAACCAGTGGCTTTTCTAGTTATCAGGGTGCCCACAAGGGGGTTTCATGCCGCAAGTTGCGTTTTTGAGGGGAGCACATTTTGACGGAGTTATGAATTTTCGAATTGAAAAGTTTCAAACAAGGAGACAAAGGGAATAAATGGAACAAAGCTTAGCAAGTGTAATTTTATAAGATTTACGGTAATTTAATTTCTAATGCTTTTAAGAAGAGGAGAGCAATGTAATATCTTGAGGAGAGGAGGAAGGGGTTCATGCGCCATCGACCTTGGGGAAGATGGGCTCCCCTGCTCAACATATATATGAAAATAATTATAAATCGACAAAAATACGTCGTCGAGTTGAACCTTAATTGTACTTGCAATATGTTGCAGAAAGACTCACCCTAACTTTTGGGAGGCGGATTCCAGGATGAGCTCCAACTCTTCGGCGAAGAGGCGTGCCCGGGACACACAACCCAGAGGTTCCTTCACGAAGGCTTCAGCCACATCTTCACCATCCGCGACTAGCACTTTCCACAGCAAGGACTCGATATAGTAGTGGGTTCCTCCGACAACTACGGGCAGTTTACCTTCCGAGAACAGCCTCTCTATCTAGAAGTACTCATGTCAAGGAGAACAATATTATGTAGTATAGTAAATAATATTATATCCTGTATAAAAAGCCATATGGAAAAACCACGGTAGTTCAATCTAACCAACTCCAATTTGAAAATAAATTAAATTTAAAGCTTGCAGTACCCTTAAACCATTTTCTAAAAGTGAAAATTAGTATCACAAAGTCGTAAACCAACGACTTCCTGTCCTACAGTTTCCTTCAACAATACTCCACTTATCCCTGTTGAGCAAATCCGACACCTAGGACTCCACCTGGACAAACGATTAACTTGGAATCCTCATACTAGACTGAAACGACAAGAAACCGCTCGACGTTTCCGATTACTTCAGCACTTACTAGACAAACGCTCTAAACTTCCCATTAATTACAAAAGACTCATATATTTGACTATAATAAGACCTATTTGGACTTACGGAGTTGAGCTATGGGGCTCCACTAAACCATCGAATTCCTCTCGCATCCAATCCTTACAATCCAAAATCCTTCGTAAAATCCTCAATGCTCCTTACTTTGCCACTAATAAAATTATCCATAAAGATCTTAATGTTCCTTATGTTTCAGATCTGGCCCAATCCAGATACCTATCCTTCCATAATAAACTTCAGAATCATCCCAACCCTCTCGTTTCTAACCTTGCTTCCTCTTCAATTCCTGATAACCCTCCGAGGCGTCTGAAAAGAAGATGGCCCCGTGATCTCCTAATGTAGTCATATCATTAGAGTGCTACCATTGTGTAGTTACTCAGCAAGTGTATTCATGTCATTATATCAATTATGTCCAAATTTACTTGATGTATTTATGTAATACAGTTGTAAATGTCATAAAGAAATAAAAAAAAAAAAAAGTATCACAAAACTAAAGCGAGACCTAGACGAGACTTGGTCTTGCGCAAGAGTCTCGCAACAGCCTTGCAGTTACTTATTAGATTATTACTGTAGAGATATTACTGTAATTATTTAGATAGGAGAAACCTAACTAAGCCTAAACTAAGTTAAATGTAAAAGTATATTGGTTTCACCAATTATTTACATTTAATAACTAAGATTGTCAATTATTAATATAACTATTTTACCTTGCAACAATTGCGGCCTTGGTCAAAGTGCAAGACCAAAACCGATTTTGGGCAACACTACTTATTGTCCTTGAGTGTGGCAGATAGTGTTAATATTCAATAAATGATAAGAAATACAATGAATCCAAGGAGGGGCGGGGGGTAGAATTTGACAAATAATTCCCAATATATATTAATATGAGATAGACAACATACCCCCGAAATGTTAGGTCGGGATTCTGTTGTGGGAACTGTTTTATCTAGAGTGCCTGTAAATGTTTACCTCGATCAAACAGAAGGTGCATTGCCCCAACGGCTGTACTCTTAGTGGCTGTCTATATCTAGCCTTGTCGAAATAGCTCATCTATAATGGGTAGTAATTTCAAGATTAATTAATACCGTAACATACGTAGCTAAGATCTGTATTACTCTATTGTTCAATGAAAAGTTTATACCTCCATGAATGAAAATATCGATTGGTAACTTCAGAGCTGTACAATTCATAAAAGCCTAAGGAGTATCGTCGAAATTCGTTCTTTATTATAACCAATTTTTTTCAGAATTTGGATATTCAGATCTCTGTCAGTAATTTTATTTGTCTTTATATGACAGATAATGAATATTACAGTATAGTAAGTCCGTATTAGAGAATTAATTTATTTTTATCAGTATATTGGTTAAAAGGATTCTGTCAACTTCAGTGTTGTTTAAAAATTTATTAAGAAATTTAGAAAATTGCTTTTTTTTAATATTGTCATCATTGACAACTTTGATTCTTGACAGTAAGAAAGAACATGTCTCAGACGTTTATTAGTAAACATCAGTTCAGACACGCTAATGTGAAGTTGCAGACTGCAGAAAAGCCCCCCAGACACGGATGTAGGTCCAGACAGAAGAATGTTCCTTTCTCCGAATATTTGGGCAGCAGAGGTCGGAGAAAGGTGGAATCTTCGAGGAAACTCTTGCCAGTCCAGGCTTCGCTTCCAGGGCCTTTTCTCACACTGCCCAAATAGGTTGGGCCCAAAAATGTTCTTCGTCGATTTTACATTGTAATAGTATTCGTTTGCTTTTATTTGAATTTTTACATTATAAAAAAAAAAAGAAGCCAAATAATGTCAGTATGTCGAAAAACGTACTCCTAACCGAAAGAAGAAGATGAAATGCTAATAAAATCTATAATTTATGAATCAAAACTCATAAAAATCATCAGATCGATAAAACGGTAGTGTTATGCCCATCAAATGTTTTCGATAACAGAATATAATTTAAATTAAATTTTCAGTTTAATCAAAAACCTTACAACTTCATATAATGTTCATGGGGGGGGGGGGCATGCATGTGTTACAGCATTTTTATATTATTATTTATTGAACACGTCCACTGTACTTTATGTATTAGGTTAGAAAGAGAGAGGAGAGTATATGAGGAGTGGGAACTTGTATAGGGGGAGAGAAGGAAGATAAAGGGTACAGAATGGTAATAAATGAATGAAAGAAATAATAAAAATAAAAAATAAAAAGGAAAAACAATAAAAAAAAGGGAAAAAAAATAATAAAAATAATAATATATATATGTATAAAATATTGTATACTATGCTCATACAAATTGTTAATCCAATATAATTGTATAATAATTTTAAATATTGCCTGTAGTGATTAATAAGTATGCTGTGTTGTTAGCAACCCAATGTAATTGGGCAGCACCATTTTATTTTATGATAATAAAGTGATCAAAAAAAAAAAAAAAAAGTATAAATATGAATTCTCTTCCTATATGTTTACTGTCTGCATTTCACAGCCATTATATACTTAACAATTAGGTACATTAATTTTAGTAGTCAAGTAGATTTTAGATGAATTTGATACTTTTTTTTTTTTTTTTTTTATGAAAGATCTGTTTATTGAGTAATAATACGTTTTGCCACACTTAAGGGCACTGAGTACTATGGCTGAGTGAGGCACATTCATACTATATATACAATACATAAAAAAAAAAATAATAAATAAAAACATAAATAAATAAAAAATATAAAAATCTATATAACAAAGGCAAAAACTATAATAAACCAAGGAAATGTAACTTAGAGTTAAAATTAAATGAAATACAGAAATTCGTAGCAAAATTAAATAAATTATAAGTAATAGAAATAAATAGAAAAACATTCATACTTAAATACAATATTTACAATTAGGTAAGAGATCTCCGAGTCCAGCCCTTTCCCCACGTGTGAAGGACAAAGCGAGACTCTAAGAGATCCCAGCGCTTCTCTCTCAACCGCGTCGCCGGCATTAGCAGTCCCAGTCCGGTGGAGACTGAGAGAGGGCACTAAAACCACAAACACCCATGACTTGAGTGGAGAAGCTGGCCATTGCCAGAACTTCAGTTACGTCTTTACAAGAGATCTCGAGGCCACTGCCGTTTCAACCTTCGAGGAGGGTTGCAGAGATGACTGGAGCTAGATAAGGATTGTGCTAAAGGGTTAGGATGGTGGATTAGGTTCATGTGAAAATTTGAGAATCGGGATGGAATAACGTCAAGGATATAAGGGATGTAAAGGTCATGATGTAGGGTTTTGTTTGTAACATAATAAGGAGCATTGACTATTATACGGAGGACTTTAGACTGAAAGGGCTGGTGGAAGGCACCGGTGGATTTGATACTAGACCACTTGTACAATAATTCCCCAATTTTTTTAGTAAAATAGTATTTAGGAAAATAGTTTGCACATTCATTAAAATATCATTTGGAAATAGTGGATGGAATCAGAGAATATTATTTTTTTTTTCCTGTAGGCATTACAGATCTCATAGATTTTTTGCAGTCCTAAGAAGCCTGCTCCATCTCTGCCTATCTTGGCCTATTTCTCTCTAGTTATCTACATGCAATTTTATTTTATCCTTGTTGATTTTATGTGATCGTTTGGCTATTGAGGGAATTCATTATAACGTAGAGACTTCCAGATAGATTGCTATGAGCTAAATGCCCTGCCCATCTTAACCTCCGTGCCTTCATACCATGAGATATTGATCATACCATGAGAGAAACACCCACAGTTTCTGTAAGCAGTTCTTTATTGGCCTTTCTTCTCCCTATGTTAAAACTCTGATCCCAGATCGCTCCAGTTATCATGCGGAGTATTTTTCTCTTAACTCATTCAATACTTTTTTCTAAGCATTGCTGGATAATGGTGCCGGTTAAGGTATCACAGCCATATATTAGAATTGGCTTTATCTTATTGACTGTATACTCTTAATTTTAGATTTCACGAGATTTTTCGAGATTTCGTTATCTTTCAAAAGGAGAAAAAAGCTGCGTTTACACTAGTTATTTGCTGGTCTGATTATTCATTGAGGTTATTGTGGAGCCGAGATATTTGAATTTTCCTACCCTCAAGAATGATTTTCCTTCTATGCATATCCTGTTATTGAGATAGCATACATATATAGTGATATGATAATGTTTTCACGAATCCATATAGTCCGTGAAAGAGATACCTTTTTTTATCATATTATCAACATCGGTCTATAACTTCGTGAATTGTAATCTAAATCTTATAGTAACCTACTACTTTTGTATTTGCGAAAGGTCTGTGAAATGGGGCGTTTTGAACTGAATATTAGTAAATATTGTCTATTTAATGAAGTACTAAAAACTCATGACACCCATTTTCTTTCTAATTTATTCGTATTTTCACAAAATCGAGAAGTGCGTGATCTCTACACGCAACGTCTCAAAATAACGAGGTTATATACACCAAACGGTCCAACATTTTTGTAAGCTACCTTTATTCTCAATTTTGTGATGAAACATCTCCCGATTTAAGTAGAAAGCTAATGCTATTCATAACTTATAGTAATTGAAACAAATAATTTATTTAATGATAAAACGCCCACAATTCTCAGAATTTTAGAATATAAAACAGTT